AAACCAGAACTGGTGAACCGTTCCTAGTTCCTAGAAACGCGAACTGCTGAACCGTTCCTCGTTTCTAGAAACGTGAACTGCTGAACCGTTCCTAGTTCAGAACGGAAACTGAAAAACCGTTCCCGTTCAAAGAACGAGAACCGGCTACTGTCACAGGCCTAATTCCAATAATATAAGGCTGATTTATTATCGTAATTATATATTAACATATCACCTATAGTGGACATTGTTTGAAAAACATCTTTTTCTTTATTATCTATGACAATAACGCCAATAGATTCTTCAATGAAGGTCTCTCTAAGTGTTTGCTTAATATACCGAAAATTTTCATTCATTGCAACGGGTTGCTCATTATTAGAAATATCATCGTCGTTGTTGTTGTTATTATTATTATTTCTATCATTATTGTCTGTAAAATAATGTTCCCTTAATTGTAAATTGACTGACTGTTGATTGTATTTTTCATACGTGATTTCATCTTCACATTTATTCATATACAATAAAATTAATCGTATAAGTATAAGACGATCAATGAAAAGTACTTCTGATGATGAAATATCTATTTTTTGTATATAATCTTTTGTTTCGTTTGTGCATTCGTCAGTATGATAAACATTTAATTTTAATATTTTATAATTTATTGTTGTAATCAATAGTGAATATGGAATATGGAGCATTTTGAACGTATCGTCTTCATCTTTTGCCTCCTGAATAATTTGTTGTAAATTGTAATAACACTGAAGTGCTTCAGTATATAATCTTTCTTGTGTATATAGCATAGCACTTTTCAAATATATCCAAATAAGATCATCATTAAATAGACAATATTGTTGTATAATAGCCTTCATTATATCAATTATTTCAATAAGAGCAACATCATTTGTTTTCTCATCGTATATACGTTGAAGAACATGACATGCGTTGAAGAACATGTTGTCTGAACAAGGATATCTCACTACATTTTGCATATAAATCTACTATTGTTTTATACATTTGATATGATGAATCATCAGTTGTTTTATTTTCTTTCACCATTAGTGGAACAAATGACAACGTTCGACGAATTATATCTGCAATAATTTGAAGAATTTCATCATATTTCGTATCAGATAGTAAAGCAATTCTGCTCTCTTCGAATATATTGACATCATTGATTAACAAAAGAGGTCTAAAACATTAAATGATATCTTTATATTAATTTGATAAAAATTTCCTGAGTGATGTTGAAAACAAAAAAATTTATTGAACAAT